ATATATATATATATATATATATATATATATGTGTATATAAAAAACTATATTTAGTAAAAAATATTCGATGTTATATATGTGATATATCTTTCAATTTTTTTATATTTAATCATTTTTAATTATGCATCTTTTTTTTAAGATACGAAGAATTTTAGAACTCTTTGAGTAAATTTGAAACTCGCTTTCAATTATAAATTTTGAGAATAACGTGATACTAATACAGGATTCTGCTCACCATATGAAAAATTGGATCTCAATGAAATATGAGTTAGCTAGTTACATATAAGTATGTTATAGCTTTATAATGTGGTGAAAAAAATATATTATAGACAGAAGCTCAATAAAGGATGATTTTTGAGCTATCAAAATACAAAAGTATATCAGAATAAAACTTTTGCTCATTAGAGCACCTTTTAATACACCAACTCAAAAACTATCCATTATTGAGCTTTATGTCTAACATTTTTTCCGGGACTTAATTTAATCATTATTTCCCATAACACGTGAATACGTGTTATGGTGATCCTTTATACAGAGATTGGTAACAATTATTTACCGGAGCTTATTAACTGGCCAAAGTGAAGGAATTGTTTAACCGAAGCACCTGCTGGGGAATGTCCAAATATTAAAGGTAACATAGATTTATCGAGTTGTTCGCTACCGAATCCAGCAATAAGATAAAACCAGATATTACAGAAACCCTTTGTCATCGGATGAGGCGCGTTGCTTATAAAGGTCCTCAATATAAAACTTTGCCATTTATTACAAGATAACCATTGATTTATGTTGCAAATATAAGATCCCCACTGAAACATATTTGTGGCGAATAATATGGCATCATTTCGTGAAAAAATCAGAAAATATAACAGCAAAACCTTGCATTACCTCTAATATACCAAGAAAATGTGTGAAAAGTTTCAAAAATGAACTTTTTTGATTTCCTAAAAATACTGCAGGTGCCAAACTTATCATTCCTTTAATCTTAGCATTATATTCAGGTCTTTCGCTTCCCATAACATAGAACGTGGTTGCACCTTGACTGTAACCGATATAATACAATTTGGAATGACTAGTTTTTTCTAAGATATAATCTATTGTTGCTGGTAAATCATAATATCCAATCTCATGCCAACTGTAACAGAAATATTTATCATTTTTAGGTGCTACAATGCTATTATTATTATTATTTTTTTATTACTTTATTGGTTTATTATATTTTAAATCGCTCGATTACCTAAAGTCCCAAAAGTCTCTATCTTTGATTGAGTAATATTTATGAGATTTAGAGTAGGTGTTTCCACGAGCGTTTGTGAGCCAAACGTCGTATCCATTATCACAAAGAACATATGCTGTAATATGAAAAGTTATATATATGTATTAATAAATTCTAAAATATTTATCATATTCTGATGATGAATAATTACTATTCATTATTAGAATATCAGACGACTAAAATAAATAACAAAAATGCAAAAATAAATTTAAAAATTAAGGAAATACAAAAATATATAGTTATTTATTAAAATAGATATTAACCGAGGGCCTTGTGTGGTCCTAAGAGTACCCAATCCGCAGAACTAGATGCAAGTCCATGGTTTATTATAACTGGCGGTCTAGAAGAAGTGATATAACATCCGGAAGTTTTTAAGAGTTGATAACTCTCAGCAGAAGTTGACAAATTATGATCTTCACTATTCATAACATCTGCATCGGTGTTTATGATGTCAGCGTTTAGTGACACTGATGGTACTCGATCATTAGGAAGTACACGATGCACAGTCAAATAATAACCATCTTCTGTGCAAATCTGATGGGTCTCGGCTATATAACCATGAGCTTCAATGAGTTCAGGCTGCAAAGTGATTATATTGCATGACTTTTATATATAAAAAATGAAAAATTTTATGTTTCAATTATTTTTCTACTATAAAAAAAGCACTGACTTCTGTTCTGAATGCATTTAGAATTTTTTTTCCAAAAGTCTTGCTTATTTAAGTGATGTACATTAGTCTGATCTGTTATTAAGATTAACGCAATAATTTTCGTCGTTCTAATTAATGATACGAGTGTATATATTTCTTTCATAATAAACTCTTTTGCTTAAATTCAAATCATTTAAACCCATTTTCGCGATAAAATTTTATTTCCGGAAGAGGAAACGAAATGTTTCATATTAACAGCTGATGAATACAGTTAGCGGCACGCGATACATTCTTGCTAGATTGTTTCCGTTCTAGTAAATTACTAAAATTGCATCACATAACATAATTTCTAATAATTTACTAAAATGCAAGCAATCAAGCAAGGAAACATACATTATTTGCCACTAATTTAAACTCGAAGAATATCGCGACTTAAATCGAATTCCGCTTTGAAATATCTAACATTTGCACGTTATAAACATCACAAATTAATATCGATAAAATATTAATTTTTAATTATTATTTAAAATTAATTTTTAATTACAGCAGTTAAAATTAGAATATTTTAAAATTGATGAATCCTCACGTGAGAATTAGACGAGGCTGTATATATAATTAGAGTCTGCATAATGCAATAAGGTAATAATGTAATTATGTTAGTAAGACGATATGCATAGAATACAATAAGATCTGTTACGGTAAAAAATTTTTCATACATGAATATATTATATATAAATAGATATAAATAAATAGTATAATAATATATAGATATAGTAATAATTATTTATAAATACAATATAATCATACATGAAGCATCCTTACAGCATTATATTCTTACTCTTTCTTTTGTAAAATTACTTTTTAGTGTAATAAAAATAATAATAGTAATGTGAAAGCATAAAAAATAATTAAAGGGATAATTGTCTATTTTAGAAAAAAATTATCCATTTTAGCACTGTACATTTTAGAAAAAAAACTAGTTTGGAAAAATGTAAAAAAAAATTGCTCATACACAATTATGCATAATTTTATATATAATTATACATAAGTAATTTTTTTACATTTCTTCAAACTTGATTTGTTCTAAAACAAATAGTATGAAAATTACCTTTTTTATTATTTTCACATTAATATTATTATTTATATTACACTAAAATTTTACAAACGAAAGAAAAATATATGAACATTCGGGACATATTTCATATAAAATTATGTATGTTTATGAATATTTATATATTATACATTTATATACATTTATACATATTCATGCATGATAAATTTTGTACCGGAGATTAAAAAAAAGTAAATTAATTTATACTTATCAATATTTCGTAATATTATATATAATTATATATATATGCATATCGATTTTTTGTTCAGGGGCGTTCATTAAATTTTATGATTTTATATACATATATAATATACATATACAATGAGCGCCCCTGAACAAAAAATCAATATGTATATATAATTATGTGTATTATATTATGAAATATTGATAAGTATAAATTAAATCGCTTTTTTTTTAATACGATTGTACTCTGTGCACTCGTCTTACTAACATAATTGTTAATTCCTATATATAATATATATATACATATATATACATATATACATATATATACATATATATATATATATATATATATATACATATTCTCTAAATATAGAATTCACTGTCGAATCCTCAAAACTTCAAAGGCTCTAAAGGTTCGTTCCCATTAAAGTCAATCGTGCGAATTGGTACAGGCATAGTTTCTTTTTTTTTTTTATAAAAGTTGAAAGGAAAGCCAGTAGTGGTTATAGATATTTATATAAATATCTGTGATATCGGTCCTAATCGGCTCGATTGGCTTCAGTGGAGATAAGCCTTTATAATGAAAAACTTGACATATGAAAAACTCCATTTTCATTTTCTTTCCCATCACTCGTGAATTTGAGCATTAATATTCGATACATTCTAATAGTTTCTTGCGATAACATATAAATTAATTTTCTGTAATGTGTAATCATCGATAATGTCTTACCGTTGTCATGTGGATCTCATCTTGATTTGTTGTTTTGCTCATGTTACTGATGTCGGACGTCAGCACTGTGACAGCGTGAAGTTTGCGAGCGATATTTACGAACTATTTTGCAGGAATACACCACCTATTTCTCCTTTTACCTAGGCTTTCTCTTTCTTTTCTTAATCGTTCTCTCTAACACACACTCTTTTTTTTTTCTTTAAAGCACGGTTCGCGCGACTCGAGCGGCTTCACGAGAAAGTGACCCGCGAAATCATAGGCGCGCAGAAGAACCGGGGAAGGGTCTCGTCGCCTTGGTCGTGCGCTTGAAAAAAAAACACGCCGTGTTCAGGCGGTGAAAGGCATGCGTTTTCTTTATTTCTTTTTACAAAATATTTTGAAGTCGACGTTAAACTATTTGAATTATTAATGGTCCAAACGAGATTAGGCAGAGTCGTTTTAATTTGTTTGTAAAACGAAACGCTTTTTGAAAAAACAATGGAACAAATTTATATACGCGTACGCGATTTGCGTATCCCAACAGATTTCTTTATCTTTCTACCAACAATGACAACTGCAGGCACGAGGACACGCGCAGATATATATATACGTCAAGTACGGACGGAAGTGTTGAAGGAGAAGAAGAGGGGGAAAGATGGGGCTGTTGAATTAAATATTAAGGAAAAAGATTCGCCTTGAAATATTAACTAACAATAAAAGTGAAATAACATCTAATTTGGATTTTTTTATTGCTAATTTTCAAATTAGAAAAAATGAAAAGTTAGTTGAATCGAGATTAAATTAATCTACATTAGTAAACGGGCATTAGTGTTCAAAATAAGCAATTATAATAACAAGATTACTTATACATATAACATAGTAAAACAAATTTTTATTAATTTTTTGTTTTCTTAATAAGTATTTAATATTTTTTATAAGATCTTTTACACTAAAATAAAGATACGCTTTAAAAAAATTTTTATTATCCTTCAATTTTTAGAAACTTCACTTTAAATTTCTTATGTAATAACGCAAATTTGCAATATATGTAATGTAGCTATAAGAAATTTAAATATATTTTTATAATATTAATATAAAAATAAATGTAATAGTATGTATAAATAATTAAAGGAATAATTTTCGCACTATTTGCTTTAGAAAACATTAAGTTTGAAGAAATATAAAAAAATTGTTTAATTAATGTATAATTATATATGAAATTATGCATAATTATGTATGAGCAATTTTTTCTACATTTTTTCCAAACTTGTTTTTTTCTAAAACAAACAATACGAAAATTATCCTTTTAATTCTTTTTTATGTTTTCACATTACTATTATTATTTCTATTATACTTAGTAGTAAAAAGTAATTTTACTAAAGAAAAAGGATATATGAACATATATGGACATATTTCATATATAATTATACATGTTTATGAATATTTATGCGTGTTTATGTATGCTTATACATATTTATACATATTCATGCATGAAAAATTTTTTACCGGGATATCCACTGATTCAGACTTATAAAAATGTCAAGCAAACTTTAATCCTATTAATTTAAATTTAATGGATTCTAATCACGATAAAAAAATGATCAAGACTTAGATCCTGCACACAATAGAAGAAATAAGGAAATTAGGAATAAAGAATAAACGATTTTAATCTATTAAAAATCAGAATACACAGTTTCTGATAGTTGAAATCCTTTTTATTCCTTATTCCTAATTCCTTATTCTTGCTATTGTGCGCAGCTTCTTAGACTATTTAACTTATATTTTCTGTAAGTC